CTCAGTTGGGCCTGGGCCTCGGCTGCGGGCTGTTTGGGCCTCGGGCGGGTGGGTTGCGCCTAGGGCAAGCGTTTTGGGCCTCTGGGTGCCTGGGTGTCAGCCACCGGGCTGCAGGAGGGTTGGGCCTTGGGCGGGTGGCTTGGGCCTCAGCGGGCGGGTTGGGTGGATTGGGCCTTGGGGAGGCCTGTGCCTCGGGGATTGGGCTGAGGGCAGATTGGGTCTCATGGGCACTGGGCCTTGGTGACCGGGCTACCCGGCAGGTTGGGCCTCCAGGGCCCTGGGCCTCAGCGACCTGGCTATGCAGCAGGTTGCACCTTGGGGTCCTGGACCTTGGTGGCGACCAGCTGGGCCGCGAGGTGGCTAGGCGATTTAGGCCTTGGTTGGGCCTGGGCCTTTGTGACCAATCTGTGGGCAGGTAGGGCCTCACAGCAGGCCTTGGCCTCAGTGGGCGGGCCTGTGCCTTGGGAGTTCCTGAGCCTTGGTGGCTTGGCAGAGGGCTGGTCTGGGCTGGGTCAGTAGAGGGCTGGGGTTAATGGCTGCAGAGAAGTAGTGTCCGTATTTGATGACGTAAAAAATGCCTCTCTCAGTCTCTCTGTACCATGGTACCCTGAATTTCCTGATATCCATGCCGATCTCCCTCTCTATTTGTTCAGCTTTGTTAGTTTATGTTTCCTTTTTTCTGGAAATGCAGCCTTCTAAGTGGGGTTGCTCTAGCCCTGTATTCCAAGCTCTGCAGGGGGCAGAAGCACTTGCCGGCACGGGCACAAAAGCGGGAGCCATGTGCAGGCAGGCTAAAGCTCAAAATGCCTGCAATTCCTTAGCAATTTGATCTTTTAAAAAACGAGTCAGAATGTTGGAATATAAGATCTTATGTTTGTTGAAAGGATGTCCGTCTGCTAGACAGAGGTTTCTTATGTGCAATTCCACCCCTTTTCCCCGAGACTGCCCTACCTGAGCTGCTTGGTCAGGGAAGCGCCGGAAGTGGTCCCTCTAAATTGTTTCTTATCTGTGAGCTGAAAATGTTTGTTTTCTCTGCAACATTGTGGTGCCATATTTACATTTAGTTACTGTTTGTATATTGATGTATTCTCAGGCACTCATCACCTGTCTCTTGATGGTTGTGGACTGTGAACTAGAATTGTGAACACAGGTAGATGTCTGTTCACTGTTTGTGTATCATAGTTCAGGGTTCACATGCCTCCAGAAACAGTGCACTATGCCAGGCATCTAACCCTAGGCATAGTTAGGGCTGCATAGGAGGGAGTGACACTGGCCTCTGGGAGCCCCTTGCCACCTACTGTCAGTCTTGGTCTAGGCCTGCAGGTTGTATTATCAACAGCTCCTCCCCAAATCTCCAGATGACCAAGCCATACCAGCCCACTGTCTCCCTGGTTTTCTTCTTTCTCACTGCTCCTGTTCATTTTCCTCCTTACAGTCAACATCCAAACCACCTCTCTATCCTATCCACTTATGTTCAAGGTTCTGGGATCACCATCTAGATCTGTTTCAGTGTTGTGTTCTGAGAGGAGCAAAATAAGAAACAGGGATTTGAGAGAGGTCGTTTGTTTGGAAGATAATCCCAAGAAGAGCCTTAGGAAATTTGGGAAGGAATGCAAGAAAAGGAGGGGAAGTGGTGACAAAGGTAGCAAACACAGAGTGAAGTAATGAATGGATCAGCATCTCTGAGTCATACAAATGGCTCAGCAGCTATCTGAAAGGCTGGAGTTTTGAGGCCATTCAGAGATACCTTGGAAATATGGCCTGAAAATTGA